TTATTGCTTGTAGACTTTTGGATAGCAGCCATCCTGACTGGCGTGTAATGGTACCTCATTGTGGTTTTGATTTGCATTTCTCTGATAATGAGTGATGTTGAGCATCTTTTCATGTGTTTTTTTGCCATCTGTATGTCTCTACTTTTTAATATGCTGTCTAGGTTAGTCATGGCTTTCCTTCCAAGAAGCAGGTCTCTTTTAATTTCATGGCTACAGTCCCCATCTACAGCAATTTTGTGAATTGGTAGAGTGGGTGCCTTTGTATTTATCTTCTTTTTTCAATAATAAGAGACTAATTTTCAAGTGATCATTTCTTTCAGAGAATATCAGCACTCCCAAGCCATTTCTATTTACATGGATTTTATAGATTATTTTTTAGAAAGTTATAATTTTTAAAATAATGAACCTTTCATTCATAGACATGGTATCTATCTATATGGTCATCTTCTTATAACCCTCAGTAAAGATTTATGGTATTCTTCATATGTATTTTCATTGTTTTTATTCCTGAAACTTCACCGGGTTTTGAATATGCTCACCTGTGTGTATGTGTGTGTTTGCACACACTATCATGGATTGGATATGTTTCCATTATATTTTTAAACTAGTCATCGTACATACAATGAACCTGACCGACTTTTGATACACAACTCTGGTTTCTTACTTCTTTCTTTGGACTTTATTCCCTTATGCTTTTAAATACATATTGATATTATCTTTCAAAAAGTCCTCAGTACTTAATTCTAATACTTCAAATGTTTTTAAAGCCTTGAAAAAATATTTTCTTGGTACATTTGGGAATGCAGTCTACCAGGTACTCTTGGAGTCCTTCAGGCTTTGGAGCAGTAAACTTCCCTTCCTGCCAGTAAGGGAGCCAGGCCACCTCTGTGTCAGAGACAATGATGCCAGGATTCTCCCCATGTAACAGAGCTGCAGATGAGGCTGGCCAGGCCTGGAACTGGCTGGCAGAGCCCTGTTATGCAGGACATAGTATTTTCCAGCTCTCCTCTGATACACTCTTCAGGAATTCCTCTTGGTTTTGTTCTTGGTTGACCAAACAACATATGTTACTCTCAGCTTTTAGATAGAGTAAACCCCAAGCAATGGTGTTACGGGCATACCCCTGAGGCAGAGGCCTGACCTGGGGCCTGCACAAAAACGTCTGCAGGTGGTTTTACAGGATGGGCCAACAACAGAAAATAGAATGGCCGGCGAGCAGTT